AGTTAATGAGACGCAGGTGTTCATCTCGCAGGTATGTAGGCCAAAGGCGGGAGCCCACAATTTGATATACCTTTATTAGTCCCACAAGGGGAAATTTCACAATGAACTCCGCCCAGGCGACAGAGGGAGAGAGAAAAAAGAGGAAACAACACATTTCTCAGGCGGATCTGCTGGACCGTGACAATAACAGTATGGTGCAGGGAAAACGGCAAAACCAGAAAGATGCAGTCCGCTGACTTCACAGTGAGATATAATGTATCACAGAGATATAATCTTACACAACCTTACCCAGAATGCTTAGTATTCGTGTGTAAACACATATTCCTCTTGTGTATTTTTATTATTCACATCAAAATCTGAGGATTTTCTCTTCTTTTACAGTTCTTTATTTTTGCCCCTTTAATCAAGCTAGTCAAATAATATAACAATAAAATCAAAGCATAAAATTTCAATAGAACAGAATAGAATAGCTACTTTATTGTGATTCAGAACACAGACCCGTTTGTGCACATCAGAAAAACCATTTGGTGCATTTACTCACCATTGGACTGTACGACTTAAATCATAATACAATCTAAATCTATGGATGTGAAAAGAATCTCAGATATGTAAACGTAAGAATATAAGAGACATTTGTCTAAATACATTACTCAAAAAAAGAGAAAACCTGTAAAAAATATTAGGAAAATAAGAATAAAAATTTTAAAAAAGAATCATAATGTCACCATTTCAGGTATGAAATTTTTGTATTATTAAAAAAAATACTGCACATATAAACGGCCCCTCTCCATTACTTAAATGGTAAACTAATTGCCCAGTTTGTAAATATGCAGAAAATTTTCCAGAATATGGAACTGAAAATGATTATAATAGTTCCCCTTTTAAAGTCTGGCTAATGACCAGATTACATGTTTTTATGCAATATCATTAGATAAACAGCTACCTGAAGTTTTTTACTTTTCCTCAGCAACACTAAAAAGCACGTTTAAACTCACTACGACAATGTATGATTTCTAGCAGCCATATAATCCTAAAATCCTGTGCCTAGTGTAGCAGACATTTCCTTCTTGAGGAAAGGCTTAATCTCAGTCTGACCCAATAAGTTCTGCATGTTTTCTGATGCCTGCTTTCACACATTAGAGTGTGGGAAAAATTCTATTCTGATTATTTCAGATTATTCTGAAATGTATTATGTAAACTGCCTAGAGTACCAGGATCAGCAAGCTCTATATAACTTTTGGGAATTATTTTTACATCAGTCAAATCCTTATAAATGTTATATACTATGTGTAGTAGTGTCAAAATAAAAAGCAAAATTACAAATTACTTCTACAATATCTGAATGTTACTGTTTGTCACTGGAATTTGTTGCTGGTGACAATAAAGTTTCTATTGTATTCTATTCTACTCTATTCTATGTCCACAGATATAGATGAGTGCTCCAAAGGTAATGGAGGCTGCCAGCATGAATGTGTAAACACCTTCGGGAGCTACAGCTGTCAGTGCCGCAGGGGCTTCATGCTGCACGACAACAGGCATGACTGCAAGGAAGGTGCAGTATGTCCACTGTTCACTCATCAGTGTGATGTATGGCCTTATATATCCTTACTTTTCTCTAGTGGACACATGAAGCTATCGTTTGTGATTCACTTACTATCTAAAGATGAAGAGGGAACACACCCTTTACCAGCTGCTGCATATTTACAGACAAAAGTATGACCTTAGGACTATTTATTAATAGTCTGAGTGGGAAAGTAGGATTGCTTAAGGGGAGCTTTAGTTTTGCTTTCATTTCGACAGTTAATATGTTCGGCCTGTTTTCCACAGCATGACCTCAGAGGATGCTTGTGCTGGAGAAAAGGAAATGATGTGCAGCTGTTATTGTTTTGCATCCTGCTTTGTTTTTTTGCTTTGTTTTTTTTTTTTTTTTTTTTTTTACAGCGGGATGTGATCATGTGATAAACAGTGTGTCCGGCACCATCGCCAGCCCTAACTGGCCTGACAAATATCCCAGCAAGAAGGCTTGCACCTGGTCTCTTTCTACAACCCCAGGCCATCGAATCAAACTCGTATGTCACGATGCCAAAATTAAAGCTGTTCAAAACCATTTATATCGTTTTAAGTTTAACTCAAAGCAATTTCCAGATTTTTAATGAGGTCGACATGGAGGCTCATCTGGAGTGCGCTTATGATCATCTGGAGATTTATGACGGAAGAGACAATCGTGCTGCGACTCTGGGACGCTTTTGTGGCACCAAAAAGCCTTCTCCGGTCATCTCCAGCGCCAACAAAATGTTCCTGCGTTTCTTCTCTGACAGCTCTGTGCAGAAGAGAGGGTTTGAGGCTTCGTACAGAGCAGGTGAGCAAACTACAGTGGCCCTGAGAGGTCAAACCTTCTGCAACATAAGAAAATGCAAAACGCAAATAGAAAAATGCTGCAAAAGCACTCAAAACACAACAAAGGTTAAATAAAGGACAACAGACATTTTAAAAAATACAATGGAAATAAAAAAAACAATAACAAACACAAAAAACTCACAAGTGAAAGCGTTTTTGGAAAAACACCAATGTGAGTGAACAGCTACAGAAGTGACAAGCTAACAGTTGCTTTGCTAACAGCAAACATGTATCTACGGTGTTATATGAATCATAACACTGCATGAATCCTTTGAACACGTCTCAGTGAAAGCCTTCCCATGTTTTGGTCTCCATCAACTCCACAGCTGTTAATGTCTCCTCAAAAACACTTGAATCTTGTGTTGGGTTCAGTTTCCATTTCCAACTTCCATTGTGTTTTGAGAGATTTTGTTTTTTTCAGTTGTCTTTGTGTTCTAGTCAACTTCTATTGTGTTTTATTCAGCTTCTATTTTGCTTTGTTCAGTTTCCTTTGCATTTTATTCAATTCACCTTATGTTTTGTAAGATTTTCTTCAACTTCTTTTGTGTTTTGATTGTTTTTACAGTGTTTTCTGTTTGTCTGTGTTTTCTTAAGTTGTTTTGCATCTCAGGGCCACTGTAGTAAACAGACTATAAAATACTGCTCTGCTAAAAAAAAAAAAAAAAAAAAAACCCCAAGCAAAAATAGAGTAAAATGGTGTTTTGAAGACAGAATAAAAGCTCAAAAATGTCACAATTCAGTTGCATTCCTTCCTAACTTTTATGAGTTCCTCTTTTTGACCCTCTAATTTTGTGGTTGTGGATTCTCAGAATGTGGAGGAAGCTTTAAAGCAGAGGTCAAGACAAAAGATCTGTACTCCCATGCCCAGTTTGGAGATAACAACTACCCTGGAGGCTCTGACTGTTTGTGGGTGGTAACTGCTGAGAAGGGTTACGGTGTCGAGATCATCTTCCAAGTGTTTGAAATTGAAGAGGAGGCTGACTGCGGGTACGATTATGTGGAGCTATATGACGGCGCTGACACCAAGTCTCCCAGGCTGGGACGATACTGCGGATCTGGGGTAGGGCTGAATAAAGTCAGTCTCGCTCACTAATTTCTATTTTTTATTTATTTGTTTATTTACTTGTCTGTATCGGTTGCTTTTCCTCAGGCCCCAGAGGACGTGTACTCAGCTGGAGACTCCATTGTTCTAAAATTTCACTCAGATGACAGCATCAATAAAAAAGGCTTTCATGTACGCTACATAAGCACAAAGTTCCAGGACACATTACACGTAAGCAAGTGACTTTCCAAACCTTCCCCAAACCTAAATGGAGACTTCACCCCTAGCATTTGGTTGGTCACACCCATTTCCTGGCAAGGAGTGAATGCACGGGTTGATACCACAAACAACAGCCCAAACGCTTTACATTGACTTCTGTTAGACAGACTGAAGCCATGCAGAGACATTACATCTTCACTCTTCATCATCATATAGCCCTGTATCGTAACAGTTTGAATGATTTCATATATAAATATACAATCGCACCACTTGTAATGAGCTGATTGGAGTTTTAAAATGTAAAATGTATATATTGTGATAATAGTTTGCCTTTTTATTTTAATCATAATTTCCACTGTCACTTTTTTCTCTTTGAGGTTGAAACCTTCATCACTTCTGTTGGATGTAATGCAGTTTCATGTATTATATTACTTGATAAATTAACTTAATATGTATGGAAAACAGCAAAACTGTATTCTTGAATCATACCTAATCACTTATTTAAGATTATATTCTTATCTGGCTTTGCTTTAAATTAGTTTCGTTTTTGAGTTTGTATGTCAGCCATCCTCTACAGCTTCTTGTTTTTGCTTCACAGCAGTTACGTTTTTTTTCACCCGATCAAAAATGATTCCTTAAAATCCTGGACTACTTGCTAATCGGGAAGTTTTTCCTTTGCTGAACTTGGCATAAATGCATGCAAATTATCATCTGCTGGGTGTGGTTACAGCTGCATCATCACTGATGCTGAGCGTGCGGAGAGGACGCTGATGTCTTGGACAAATGTTTGATTTTTGTTGTGAACAAAGTTCCGTTTATGAAAGCTGTTGGTGAATCAACCAACTAACTTTCTTTCCCAATTTCAAATTACTGAGAGATGTGTGTACGTCTGCACCTTGATGAGCCTTTTCATGGTTTCCCACCTATGACTGCAAAGATGTTTTCACAAGTAACATCCAGCTTTGTTTGTAGTTTAGTATGGAAAATCCTCTGCACACCTGTGCCATGCCTGACATCTTTTAAATCAAAATCGATTTCACATATTTTTCTCTTGGCTACAATCTTTCTCTGCTTTGCTCTGATTATTTGGGACTTAATGCCCCCCTTTTGTTTGCTGAGCCAGATCTAATCTCACTAATTGGGTGAACTGAGTGTATTGCGGAGACACACAGTCACATAAAATTAAACCTACTTGAAAGAGCAAGAAACTGCAGTTCTTCAACCAGCCACTTGAAGCTGCATCCAAAAGCAAGAATCATGTTTAAAGCCTGGTAACAAATTGGTTTTGGCCTCTGTGCATGTTTTCCCCCTTCAGCATCACTGCAGGTGGGTGAATCTTTTTAAAGCTAACTCATTTATCTGGATACTGGAGTTAGGGAACCTCTAGCTGCTGTGTTATTACTGTTGGAACCTGTTACAAATAGAACTAGCATGCCTTGATGTGTGGTTTAGGCCACCCAAGAAGTGCTGAAATTACTTAGAACTAATCAGCAAATATATGTGTGCATTGCACATGTACAATTTATGAATCCAGTTTGTTAACCAAGCATCCACCTACTAATCCAAATATGACATTCTTGCTCCAAAACAGCAACATGGCCATTAACATAACGCTAACATTAGGGTTTCAAAATGAAGCCTAAAGCAAATGGGTAACCTGGCAGTGACAATGGCCATGTTTTAGTTATTTATTTATTTATTTTATTTTTTGTCCCCCCTGCACAATCAATCATCATTAAAGGGACAGTTTTTTGTTCCAGGCTGCAAATGTGTTCATTTCAGTTCTTTGCTTGTGACCCCGTAGTATAAAACATTTATTCATAGCGCTGCAAGTGGTTGAATAAATTAATTAATGAACTCTTAAGGGTACCATAAGGTAGTCATAGAAAGCAGAATTAAGGAGTTTGATCATGGAGGTGTTCGGTTCATTTTAATACTGGAAATAACACACTTGTGCATATAATTACGGACATCTTTTTACATCTTTGGTGCCACACATTTAGTGTAGCAGGCTTTTGATCAATATGTGCAAAGATTTCTCAGTTACAAAATTGTGCACACATACAAAAAGGCGATTTAAATTGATTTTTATTTAAGTATGTGCAAACCTAATGTTTGTTATGATGAAATAAAAAGTTTTTCCATGGTCCTTGAATGCATCACATCATCAAGTCTTGTGACTCCAGTATAATTCAGGATGCCAGTTATTTACAGAGTTAAAAACAAAGTACTGAATGAATTAATGAATCATGCATAAAGAAGATTACATAACAGCACATTACAATAATGTCACTACAGTCAGATAACCAGACAGTTTCACATTCTTCACCGAAGCACAGCTTCTCTGAAATGAAATGGTTGACAGTAGATTCATAGTCTGCAAACTCAGCAAAGCTTAGATACACGTGTTTCTGATTACTGATGAGATAAACTGCACAGTGCATTTGCACAGTTTCAAATCTGTACAGTAGGAACCTTTTTTATTCACATATGTTTTTTTGCATATCTAGTCATTTTTGGTAACTGTTTGACCCTTTGTCCTCTGTTTTTTTCACAGCAGTTAAATCTTTGGCAAGAAAACTTTGAGAGGCTCATTTTCATGCACTTTGTCCAGGAAGCCCAAGTTGAAATAAGGATACAGTGTTTCAGTGAAGGTCTCCCTGAAGGTGTACAGGTGTGTCATGCTCTCTGCGTTGTAGAAGGACACCAGGCCCCTCTTGTAGTCCACGTACACACCGATCCTGGCCAGTGGCTCCTCCAGTGACAGGACAGTTGGAGGGGACGTACCTGCCATGTACTGAATCCCATAAGAGAGAGAGATAGTCCAGAAGCCGTTAGCTGGAAGGGCTTTGATGACTCCCTTTCTGGGTACCGACTCCCGGGCTACCCCCACAGTCCAGACTGTGCTGCTGTAGACCTCAATCTCCCAGTAGTGGCGCCCGTGGGTGAAGCCCTGGCTACCCAGCAGCGACAGGGCGGCATTAAACCTGTTGGGATTGTCCTCCACAGTGTGGTTAAAGTTCTGGTATCGAACGCAGGTGAGGGAGGAAGTCAGACTGAGCCAGGGGTTGGCCGTGCTGGAGTTAAATGTAATGGAAGCTGGAACTAAAAAGAGGAGAAAGCAAAGGCAAGAGAGGAAGTTTAAGGCTAAAGATGTTTCTTTGCTGGATATTTTGATGATGGTTTCTGTGCAGTGCAGCGATTCAGGAGTCTGAGTGTCACTTTTAAGTACCTGGATAGATGCTTCCTTTCATAGATTTCCACACTCTGTACTGTAGGGGCCCTGCAAACCGGCCCTCACACAAACTAGGCGGTGTAAACACGGGTTTCTCAAACTTAAGTGGAGGCCTGTCAACGAAAGCAAAGTCAAACAATGAAACCAAAGAACAAAAACAGAGCCTTTCAAGGACAAAATATTCTGCCCCTTTCCCACGCTCACCTCTGGAGAAGTGCTTTGATGCTCTGAAATGAGACACGGGGATAAACACAGGAAAAGAGACAAAAAGACTGTAATTAGTTTTGCTGTATTTGAAAGAAGAGAGAGCTTTTTCCACATTACATCAATGTCTGACCTCACATTATCCCACCCTGCGGGATCTCCCTGTGGCCGGGGGAAATTCCCACTGCCTTGGCCTGAGTATGGCCCGGTGCCTGAACTGAACTCATTTTTCTAGAGCTCAGCGACTGAGGTCGTTGGCCTGAATCTTGTCTAAGCTCATAAATGTTTTGTTTGGAAAAAAAACTACAACAGTGTTGTTGTTATTTATCACGCTTTACCCTTGAAGTTTTTTCATAATGATGTAATCAAATCGACCGTCTTGCTAAGACCACTCTGCAGACTTAACAGGAAAGCCAAAGCGGTCACACCCAGCTCAGTTATATCTTGAATGTTGACGTTGGACCCTGTTTAACCTGTTGGCACAAAAATGTATGTCTGCTACATAATAGACTGAAAAACACCTCATTTTCTTCCCAAATATTGTGCTTCTGATTCTATTTCTTTCAAAACAGTGATACAAATGTTTTGACAACGTATTTAAAATCAAGAGTTCAGCATTTTTTGGCTTAATCATCCCCAGAGCTGACTCATCATCCTGGTAATAACTTCCAGATGAACTGTGCTGTATGTACAAACAGGCTAAGCGTACCCGGAGCAGAGTGAATGGGTCCTGCTCTTTTAGTTTGTCCTCTATCTCATGGACGGCCCTCTGCAGACGCGAGATCTCCACGCACAGCAGGGCCTTGTGCTCGTCCAGGCGAATCAGCTCTCTTCGCTCCTCCGTCTTCAGCTTCACCTGCAGCAGTTTCTCCTCCTGGTAGAGGAACTGGTGCAGGTCGCTGAACTGGGCTTCAATGCGCTGCTTCAGATCAGCGGTGTGCTCCTGAGTGGGAGATGCATATTGTTACTGGGCGCGACGGTCTATTTCAAAAAGCACAACAGCCTGTGCACACATACACAAAAACATTAAAAATCCATGAGGGGAATGAGACAGGAAACTGTGGGTCAAGTGGGTCAGTCTGGATATTTATAGTGATTGTAGCATGCGCAGTGGCGAGGTTTTGATTCCGATGTGTTTCCTCTCACCTTCAGCTTCTTGACCTCGTCTTCAGCTTCTCTGTCACACTGCAGCGCTATGTTGAGCTCAGCTTTTAAAGAGTCCATTGAGCTGTGCAGAGATGCCTGTCAGGGCAGAAACACAAAATCAAAGCATTTTGTTTAACCATCCATTCTCTTCTGCTTAGCCAATTCAGGGTCACGGGGGGCTTTAGCCTATCCCAGCTGCGAGAGGCGGGGCACACCCTGGACTGATGGCCAATCTGCTGCAGAGCTAACACAGAGACATCCATTCACACTCACATTCACACCTGTCTATGTGTTTGGACTGTGGCAGGAAGGCAGTACTTTGAGAGAATTCACGCAATTCAGTGGGAGAACATGCAAACGATGGTGGATTCAAACCCCAGACCGTCTCACTCTGAGGCACCAGTGCTAACCACCTCACCACTGTGCAGCCCGTCAAAACATACTGACTCCCTCAAAGTCAATGTCTTGTCCAGGGTGATTTGTTGAAAACACAATAGGAAGCGTGATAAATTAGAGCTTACTTTTGCTTTAAGCCTAACCTGGGAGACTCCACACTGATGAACAACACAAGAGGATGCATGTTTGCAAAACCAGAAGAAGTTGTTTTTGGAAAATATGAAGCCAAGTCTAAAACTTTATAAAAGCAAAAACAGTTTAAACCCCATTAACAGTAATATTGACTTCCTGCTGAACGTTTAACTGCTGACAGGCACTTCATTAAAGCTTAACTCACCCTGTACTTCTGTTCTGCCTCCTGGACACACACCATGGTGTGACTTCTGTGCTCCTGGGAGATGCCACACACCAGACACACCAGCTCCTGGTCCTCCTCACAGTACAGTTTCAGCTCCTCCCTGTGTCGGCTACAGCGTGCAACCGGTGCAGGAGCCCTCTCTGGCACCCCGGCATCTGGCAGGCAGGGTCCAGTCCCGCTCTCCTCCAGACCCTGACAGTAACTCTCCACTATGTTGGCCACTATACGGTTGGGTCTGTAGCTCGGTCCGGGATACACCTTCCTGCACTGAGGGCAGGAGCCGGCTCCACCTTGCCCCGTGCCCCGTGGCCCTGCCCAGTAACCCTCAATGCAACCCTGGCAAAATGTGTGATCACAGGGCAAGGATACTGGCTGCTTGAAAAGATCCAAACAGATGGAGCAAGTCAGGTCTCTGCTGATTCTGTGAGCCGAGCTTTTAGCCACTTTTCCAGCTATGGGAGGCTGTCGCGGCTTTTCCATTGCTGTTTGCACAGCAAAGTCTCCTTCTTTAGGTTTCCAACTTTTTTTGTCCGGCTTTATCCCCTGGTTCACTTTCTCCAGGTTCTGCAGATAGACTGACTGGATTTTCTTCACTTCTTTCTGATTCTTGCTCATTCCTTTGCCTTTAGTGTCCTTCTTTGTTCTTACTGTACTGCTGGACTTCTGAATCCTTCCTCTCCTACAGAGTGTGGCCGCTCTCTTTGGCCTCCAGTTTTCCTGTTGCTGTGGGGAAAACAAGGGGGTGGTGCAGAGGCAGCATGAGCCTCTCACATGCAGATCAGATAGTGAGGGGATCTCAGAGGCCCCCCTTTCCCCCTTAGACTGACGTCAGTCAGGAAATTGAGGCGGACCATGGATATTCTTTCCTTTGCATGTTTGTTTAGTAAAGTCTGCGCAAGTAAAGTCCGACTTCACTAAACTCTTAATCTGCTCTAAGAATAATTAAAGAAAAATGTAAATCCAGTGGATGTGACTGTGTGAGCTCTTGCCGTGAGTGTGTGTTAGATGGACAAAGCAGGAAAACATCTGTGAGTAGTAGATAGCGATTTCATCATTCTAATTATGGCCACGATCTCTGCCAAGTAAGTAAAAGGTAGAAGGGTATCATTCAAAACTGTACGCATAGAAAGCTCCACAACAGACAGAGTACTCTTTATCCAGACATAACGTCCAGTAAAGCTTATTTAAAAATCCAAGCTGAGTGAGAAATTTGTGTTTCGCTTGCCAAGACTCGTATCAGCAGCACCACATGGGCCAACTAAATATTACAGGATGTTACATCAGCCTAATGACACTGTAAATGTAGGCATGCTGTGATTATTTAGTGCATAATCACAGGTCGGGTGAGTAAACGCACAGCAGTACTGCATAAATGTTTATACTGAGTGAGAGTTTTTATTTGTTTGCCTGTTTGTTTGTTTTAATCAGCCTGTCTTGTGTGTGCCAATATTCTGATTGCTGCACTTTCTGTAAATAACACTTGTTCCTCCTATGATGAATGACATGAATATACCTGAAGACGTTCTTGTTTTCTTTTAGAAAACCTTTCAGTCAGTTTCTCTGCCTTTTCTCTGCCTGTACTCTGTGTTATGAGCAATAGGGACATCTGGTGTCCAAAGTGAAACTTTAACTAGAACTAAACTTATTACAGATCAATATGATGAACATCAAATTGATAATATAACTGGGTAAACAACAGCTATGATTAAGCAAACCCTTTTTTTTTTTTTAATGTAGTACCAGTTGAGGGTGGAAAGCAGGAACCAACACCTAAAGGATTTTAGAAAATTGTTTTGCATTGAATCAGAGTTTTACAGGTGAACAAAGTGCTTGCAAAGTAGCAATATTACAGTGTAAAATCAGTGTGCTGCAAATTAAAGGCATCACAATACACTCATGGAAACTTATTAAGTACATCTATCTCACTGCTCGTGTCAGCATCACATGCACTTAATCATGTAGGCATCAAGTAAACCCGCTGAACTTCAAACTGACCATCAGAATGGAAAAGGATGACTTAAGT